ATGTACTTTTAGTTAATTTTGCATATATTATTTACAATAATTTTGATTGAGAATAATTTAATCGCTTATTTTACTTTTATAAATAAAATATACATACTATAGACACGATTGCCTTGGAAGAACATAAATTTCTAATATCATTCCTGCCGATCAATTAATGTGTGAGTTTCAATATGATTGTTATCAGCATCGTACATAAATCGGAATATCACACGACGTACTGATGATATCCGATCGAATTTTAATCGAAGTCCCTGCAGGATAGTTGACGCGCATGTGATGCTCTCGAAAATCCCGAGTATATTCCGATATGCCAAAAATCAATCTCACAGATGACATCATCGCTTTTTGTCTAATAGTGCTAATTAATATTTAACAAATAATTATAAAATAGATGAGAAAAATACACAATATAATAATTTATTCATTTTTATCTATAATCTATAATTTAATATAGTTTACTTTAAATTAAATATGTAATATATTAGATGACGATAGTAAAATATGTATAATATTCAAATATATAATATTTAGTATGTGTAATATTCAAATATATAATACTCAATATGTATAATATCTAAATATGTAATGTAACATTTATGTGAAATAATTTTAGATAAATCTGTCTTTAGATATTCCCAATGGTTCCCAATGTTTGACAGTAACATTTTGCATGTGATGACATTATGTAACATAATGCGTAAAACTTGTCTTGATACATTAAGATAATAGATTAAGATCTGGATTTCGTCGAAATTTAAGTGCTGATAAAATTATTTGATACTATTTCAAAATACATCGTTGTAATAAATCGGTGATCCAAAATACATCGGTGATTCATAAATCGACACATTAAAATCAGCTTATTTTTTAAATAATTAAATTTGCACATAATTTATATATAAATGCAGTGCTCTTATAAATTTTTAAATTAAAAATTTTTAAATTAAGGGTAATGATTTTTCTAAAATATGTATTTTGAGCTGACCAATGCTGTTACGAGTTTACGTCGTGATCTTCGGACCGAGAAAATTGTTTTCGGTCAAACGAAACATTTATAAGCCATAAAAAGCCTGCCGTTGCATTCGGGTCGAACGATCTATTAAATTTTTATGAGCTTTTTGTCGGAAACCTCACAGCGCGCGTTCGAGCAGCACACTGAGAACCACCGTTAGCTCTAAACTTTCAGCCGTGCTTGCATATAAGGGATGTCATATAAAAATTTGATACACGTTGAAGTCGTATAAAGTTAATCCCTATCTGATTGAAATAAAAGAGTCATTTTACAATTTCTCAATATCATTTTCCACAGCGATGAAATATTCCAATAGTGCGACAGCGACCGGATATAAGGTATCAAACTATCAAATTAAAAAGATATACAGTTTCAACGATATTATTCAAAGTCTCATCATGTAAAGCTGGATTTGTGCATAGTCTATAATTATAAATTTATAGCATCACAATCCGATAAAATTTATCAATTAAAGATCCAGAAAGTAATTTTATTATCCTTATCATAATAATTAGCAATAGCAATTAATAAATTATAAAATTTTTTATAATTATAGAACAAAATATTTTTTAAAAGAAATAAGTGATATTTTCGTATATATATATATATATATCCATACATATAAAATCATATAAAGCCTGATGAAATTAATTTTTATGCTGCATGTTTTGATATATTTATTAATAATATATAATAATATATAATAATGCATAAATCATATCTGTTGTCTGATAGCGACGTGGAATAAAATCATAAAAAAATGAAGATATTTTAATTTTTACGAAATTAAATAATGCCTAATTATTATAATCCAATCTATATTCTCTATATACTCCTCACAAAATAATATGATTTGCAATCTTATCTGTCACATGATTGCATTTGCACATAACTCTTGTAGTCAGCGAGAAATTTATATTCGCGGAAGAATGATTTTTGCGCATCAGCTCTTCAAATCAAATTCAACAGTTCACTTGCAATGTAAGCAAAAATGTGCTACTGTGCTCTGTAAAACTGCATCTATTTCGAAAATGTTACTTGTGTGTTAGAGAAACGTGAAAGTAAAGACACAAAAGGTAAAACGAAAAGCGAAGAGGAGTAAGGGGAGAGAGAGTGAATGCATCCAACTCTGCTTGTAATGAACTTGTGAATATTTAGTGAGGTAATTGCCTTTCGTGGCGAGTCTCGCCTGCGTCTACCACTATAAGGGGTGTCCGCCAAATCCGAGAGCAAAACCAATATCAGTCGACCACCTGTGCTCTTAGCTCGCACTTCGTCATATATACGTTACGTGCACATCAGCTTCACGTATATCGATAATTTGATTTCCTCGGGGACATCGCAGGCCGATTGCCAGCCGTTCGGCCGACTCTACTCTATATTTTTCTATTTTGTAATATGGCAAACAAAAAAATTATTTTACTTCTCATAAGGCTTTAATGACATTGAAGAAAAGTATGCCACCGAATTCTCATAATCTTGAATGTATATGCTCGCTTTGAAAGCTCTAAGTAAGAATATTCGAGAGATATTTTTTTGATGTCTCGATACATTGCAAACTTTCACAATCGAATCGAAAAAAAATACTAATGAAGATATGTGCTACTATCAAGATAAATAAAAGAGAAAATAGAAGATTTATATTAATTTTTTAACTACTTAACCATAATTTTTATTTAATTATTTTTAATACTTAATAACACAAGCAGAAAGAGAGAGAGAAAATACGTAATTAAAAAAGGAATTAAAACAATTTGACGTCAGGTATTAAAAGCGATAATACTATTCAATAAAGAATACTAGTAACTCATATAACAAATGCATATAACAAGTTCAAGGAAACACGCAACAAAATTGTAATCTGCTGACGGGCAAAGCCTAAGCTTACTGCATGTCTCGTGCAAGAAAAGCCTTCGTGTTCTTTGCACGCCATCTGAACGTTTTATAATCACTATACTTCTCTTCTTTTTTCGTTATCTTTCCTCACTTTTATATTCTCTATCTTCCTTAGTTAAAAAAAATGTCTGGCTATTAATTTACCCTCACCTCCTGCCGCGCATAACATCTTGACAGAACGTACCACCTGGTAAAACAAGCTGCATAAATTAAACGTTGGATTATGTATTCCGAATTTCCTTTATTTTCCGAATAACGGAGAAGAATAGCGCAAATGAGTAAAGATTAGATCCAGCTCGTGTTAAAATATAAACTTATAATTATGAACAATATTCATATTTTCTACGAAGAATAAATGTGCCCTTTTTATAAGGATGTATCGTTATCACAATGTCTTTTCTCGCTAATTACTAAGACATAATAAATAAAATACGAAAGAACAATGAATAATGGAAACTGTTTTAACACACGATAATATTATTTTATCTTTGAATGTCGAATGTAGAACTACACTTATACATTTAGGCAAATCAGAAATAGTTTCCAGACGTCTGTATGCATCGAGATGATTAAAGAATAGCGTGTCTCGGCAATTATAGATTCCCTCTCGCTTCAGTGAGACACGAAACGTACCCGGATCGATCATCGGTACATACCTATCTCGCGGAACCTCTTATGACAACGATGGCAACCAATCGATTTCCAATTTGATACAGAATAGAATCCATTAATAGCGCTCTTGTCGACGACGCTTCCCACCGACCAGGATACATTTCGGCGAGTGTCAAAGTGAGAAACGGCAGAAGTAAAGCGAGAAGTAACGGAGGAAAAAGGTATTGCCGGAGAGAGCGCGGCATGACTGCAAGAAGGAGAAACGAGGGATGAAAGGGAACATACGAGATGCGCGTAAGCGAGCCGGCTGGCAGCCGGTAGCTGACTCGTACCGATAAGAAGTCTCGATCCGTTCACTTCCGCAGTTCTCTCTGTCCGCCGCCTCGTTCGTTCCTTTCCTTTCACGTGCCTCTTTCTCTCGTACTCTTTTTTTTGCTAGGAGAATACGACATTAACTGACGGACGGAGAGCGACGTCAACGCGACGCCGCGATCTAGCGACGGCGATGATGGCGTAGACGAGGAAGGCGACAAAACTCCATTGGAGCTCAAAACGAAATAGGGAATTTAAGTGTCACCGTTCTGTGATGAGGTCTTTCCTCACGAATACTATCCTTCTTTGTGCTTCCTTTTTTCTTATCCCTTCTCTCACTCTCGTTCTTCTCGGTTTTCATTTTTCTGTTCTACATACGATGACAATATCCTAAGTATATTCAATAAGATATTGATGTTTAATCGATATTCTACCGATATATAAATTTGTGTAAAAAGAGCTTGTAAATATGTTAATATGCAAAAAATGTATAAATCTTATTGCTTCATGAAATTGCCATGAAACAAAAATATAAATATACTTTACGCTCTAAGAATATGCGTAAAAGAATGCATTATGCACATCTATAAACGAGATATATGCATATATAATTCGCGTATATATATATATATATATATATATATATATATATATTTGTAAAGAGAAATATTTAAAAACTTTTAATTTGATTTAAAATACTTAGTCTAAATGCGCAAGAGATTTTTTTTACATACACCAATTCCGGAAAAATGCAAACAATTAAGTAATAAATTTCACGCGGCCTACCCATTCTCATCCATATGCATGCAATTACTATTCCAAGTTTATTCGCTACCGATCGTTACATCTCTCGTAAAACGCACTTGCACACCAGTGCCACTTTGACAATACAACTGCCCGTTAAACTATTGCTGTTAAATTGTGCCAAGTGTTCGCACGACGGGAAGATCTCCGCCATCACTTGATATGAGATATATATTTTCGTGCCAAATTTGCCCTCCGTTTTGAAATGCGCCAAAATAGTTTCTCTGTTTGCTCGTAAAGGCAAATTAACGTTTGCAAATTTATGCATATTTAAAGTACTTCTCAAAGTATAAATGTAAAAAATATGAGAAAGATAAAGGAAAAAATAGAAATATATATTTCTTTATCAAACAATATCAATATCGTGTCATTTATTGATACAAATTAATTAAATTAAAATAAAAATATAAGATAAAGCTTTAAATAAAGCGCATAAATTTATTCATTCAGAAAGAAAAAATATATATATCATGTAAAACAATTATGTAATCGCGTTATTTATATGGTTCATTAGCCGTGCATCCAGCTTTCCATGAAAAATCGCAAACTTTTTCTATGGGATTGAAGTGCATATCACCAGGACACTCCATCAAGATCGTTCGCCCGTAATCACAGACGAAGTAATGTTTGCAGTTGGTAGGGTCAGGGATGAGAATAGCATTCTCTCCTTCTCTTGGTGGTCTATTTGGGCATTCAATCTCTTGGGCCTGAGTATAAAACATAGACACCAAGCACATCACAAGTGCAATGGAAAGTACGGCTGAAATATATTAAACAGAGACATAATAATTTTAGGAGGATAATGATAAGATGATAATCATTTCGAAAAAAAGTAATTGTTATAAATAAATAATTAGATTTATAGTTATCATTAAATGTTTCAAAAAGTATAAGTTACATAGAATTTGTCGGAATGTTTGATATTAAAGATAAATTATAGACATTAGATTATAAATATTGATATTAAAGCATTACATACTTATATTAAATTATATAAGAAAAATAATTATATTTTGTAACAGTAGCAAGAATTTTTCTACAATTATATTTGGATTCGGAATTTTTCAGTGAAATTTGTTAAAACAATCTCAATTTGATATAACAAGTTTAGAACGATAGAAAATATATTAAATTTGATTTCAATAATTGTAAAAAATCATGCTCATCGTAATATATTCATTATTACGACAGATTTTATAATAATAAGCAATTCTATTTATTAAAAAAAAATCAAATAAGACAATAAACTTTTATGAGGCTTACCTTTCATCTTGTTAGGTATTTAAAAAAAGTTTCTTTCCAAAAATTTCACTTTCTTTGTGCGAATCACACATGAAATTGCGCACTCGTCCATCTAAGGTCTCCTTATATATCCGATCGATGGATCTTTTTTATCAGTCTATTTAAATCGTTATGTATCAATCCAATCGTCTTCTGATATTCGTACTCTTATCAGTTATGTGTAATAATATCGCGATAAAACTGCGACTCGTAGAATTTTTCACGTAATAATCATGAACGAAGACAGCTTTGTCGATATTCATTGCACTCTCTTCCTCTCCTCTTCTGTTATAGATCATACTTAGTGTAGATGTTCAGAAGACATGGATCATAGTAAAGCGAGTAAATATAAAAAGAAGGAATTTATGAAAAGTGAAACGAAATATGAACGAAATGTAAGATGAGCGCGAGTAAGCTAGAGAGAATGAGAGGAAGTGAGAGAGGAGAAGGATGCTGGCTGACACTCGGACAATGCCGGCGTGGTGCTGTCGCGTTCGGTTCCTGGTTATGGCGGGTGCACAATGCCTATTGTCGAGCAACCTACCATACAAACGTGTGTGCTGACGCTTTCACACAACGGCTAGCTCTACCTCCACCTCTGTCTCGTTCGCTTCGGTCTCTCTTCATCTCTATACTTTCTGTCGAAGACGAGTAAAGAATCTTTCTTTTTCTGGTAACGCCGCCGTTTCTCATAAGCTCGCAGCTTTCGGCAAGACCAATAAGATATCCTATGTGAAGAACAATATTGATTTTTTTCAAATAACACTCTAGGAATAGCGCAAAATGAGTTTAAGAGATAAGGTAGCAAGGTGCGAAGATAGGAAAATTGTATTTAATCGCCATCGTCTCGAGGATCTCTAGAACATCGTCAAAAAGTTACGTAAAAGGATGATGGATATTTTAGTCTTACTGATTCCATTATAATAATATAAATATTATATATTAGGATATAAATATATAAAAAAGACATTTTTTATTAGTCAAAAAATGAATTATAATTAATGATAAATAAATTTGTATCCTATAATATATTCAATACAAATAAGAATGAATTTTAAAATAAAACTTTCTTTACAAAATATTTTACAATTTTAAAAACATTTTTTTATTAAAAATTATTTTTTCACAGAAAGATATTTTTCTCAGAGTGTATTTAGACTAAATTAATGAAATAAATTTAATTAATAATTATTTAATTTCCATAAAATAATGAATAAATTAATATTAATTTATACATCAATTTTAAAATAAAAGTGTTTATTCTTTTGATTTATTAAATATAATATATAGATATATAGAATACAAAGAGAATTAAAAATAAATTAAATTTTTCAATATTATATTAAAATGATAAAAAACATAATATTATTTTAATATTAATTTAACATAAGTATTTATGTAAAAATATTTGTAGATAGAAAATAAAAAGTTAAAAGCTAAAATTAAATACATATTCATTACTTTGGAATGATATCGTTATCTCAAGAGCTAATACCAATTTGTTGTGGACTAGAAAGTAATCACATTATCAATATTTTTATTACAACAGTTTTCGCTTTGTTAATCATTTTATAGAGAGAATGATTCCTATCTGACATATTTATACAATTTATTTTGATAAAAATTATTACAGCACATTTTATATGTGTCGCGCGTTTTGTCGATCGTCATCGATGTTAATCGCTTTGCTTTGTAAAATACTGACGTACTGACGACAAACTCACCTATATTGTTACCGTAATATGGAAATGTTATTTTAAATTGAGTATAGTGATATACAGAAAAGCAACTGTCAACTTTTAAACTTTTTTAATTCTTTATTATAAAATTGCTATTAAAGGAAAACTGAATATTAAAAAAAGGATTTTAAAAAAAGAAATTTCCAAAAGTGAAAGATTTCTAATCTTTTTCAATATATTACTCCAAAATTTAATATAATTGCATTATATTATTTGTAAACATAAAGAGAAAAAAATCTTTTTGTATTTAATCATACAAGAGAAGAAAAAGGATCCGTTCTGGCATCTTATCAAAAGCTCTATAATTTGAATTCAATCATTTGCAAATCACGATCTCATTCACGTCTTATTCTCGATTGTTCGGAACTGCGCGGAAATTGGGTTCACTTTAGGAAATGAGACATTTCAACCGACACGAAGAAACGATTGTTTGAAAATGGTTGAACGTTTGGACGGAAAAATGTCATTTTCTTAGAACGTGCTAAAATTTTGAATAGCTTACAATAGTAAAGATAATTCGACAAAGACATTGCTTATTCATTTTTAAAATTTTTGTTATTATTAAAGCAATAATTATCGCAAACAATATAATCAAATCAAATAAGTATAATAAGATAGGTACGAAATAAATATTTAAAAAATCACGTTTAGTATGTAGATATTTGTATGTATGTGTGCATATGTTTGCTAATTATGCGATTTAAAAATACTAGGGCACATAAAAAAGTTAATATTTCTATTTTCTCTCTTCTGTCGTTCGGCCATATAGAGAAGAAGAAGAGAGAAAGAGAGCCCGGTTTCCCATACTTACCATATTGGCATATACACCGCCTGCGTTTTACGGTCATATTCAGCGATTTTGCATATCGAGGCCAGGCGTGTGTATGTGCGTACATTATAGGGCAGGGAAAAAAGAATGAAGAGGAAAGAGGAGAGCGAGCCCATCGTCGTCCTTTCTTCTCTAGCGCCATCAGAACTGCTGCAAGCCCATTCACCTTTTCCACACCGATTCACATATATACGGCAATCGCAGACCTTCTTGAGAGCTCAATTTATCGCGGAACGGCCTCCGCGCTAGTACAAAGCGTGCCGGTGTGTGCGGGACGTATACTCCCTCCCTTGGAACAAATTGTCATAATTGAATAACCAAAGAGATAAGCGAGCTATGCTTTGACCGTAAGCGCACTCGCGTAACTTTGGCAACGGCTTCGATACGGGTCGATCCATTTAACTCTCAAGTGCCTCGAGTCCACTTGGTATTTTGGTTCTAAACTTCCCCTTTTGATTCGTGCCTACACATATTTGTTTTTATGAATCAGTTAAATCGACCGGCACATTAAATTCTGCGCTTCATTTGTCTTTATGTCTACGTGGGAGAAATTTATAGGGATTCGGGAGATTTTGAAAATGTATTTTAATTATTCACAAAAGATATACTCTCATTCAATTTTATATAGTTAAACTGAAAAAAAATAACTATCTTAAAATTTATCTTTAGCAAGATTTAAAATTAATTTAAATTACTGCAATTTTTTAATAGTACTATTAAAAGAATAAGACAATTGTTGTACAAGTGTGCGATTTATTCTGGCGATCAGAAGGAAAAGATGGTACAAAAGAAACACTTGATAATGCTGATGGAAAAGGTTGATACGAAATAAACGAGATCAAACGGAAGTAGAGAATGCGGATATCGGGTATAGCTTTAACGGTCTTTTGTTTAGCTGACTCCACCGTTCACCGGCATGCCGGTAATTGCCACAATGCGGGGTGAAAAACCAGAAAAAGTACAGCACAGTTGGAAATCAGAGGAAACGGCTAATCAAATGACAAGTTGATCGCTAATTTCTTTTCACTCTTGAAACTTGTACATCTATTTGTTGTATATATACCCAGAAAGAAAAGTTACGTATGTTTCATTAAAAGAAATGTCATATATTTGTGTAATTTTGTTACTTTATTTGAAATTAATATATGCATATATGAATATATAAAGAAATTTCTTTAAGAATCTTTCGCTCTCTCTGCTTTTTTCTCTCGCACTTTCCCTATTTTCATTTTATTTCACCGAACACAATGCATCTCAATTGTTTCTTTTATCAGCAATCAGTAGTAATTAAGATTGATCAACGAAAGCTCCGAATTGGAGATATCGACATTCGCATTAGACAACCAGTTAGAAACTTGTTGCTGTGATTTATAATCATGGGACAGGCAAATTGGAGAGCAGTCGGGAATATGTCATAGATTTGTGCCTATGAGAAGTGGTTGCGAACACAATTGCTTCTGGCGCGAGGAACGTAACATGTGGTCACGCGATACCGTTTCGATTGCGCTTATTACGGATTTATTACATTCGTATTCCATCGTTCTTATTTCACTGTACAAAGAAAGTGAAATTATTAAATATATGCTATATAGTATCTCCAAAATATCTCGTTCATGTGTGAAACATATATTACATTTTATGCAACAAAAATTTTTATTTTCTCTAAATATTATATGTTTTTTAAATTTTGCGAGGTAAATTCCTATATGTTTATATAAAAACTTATATAAAACTTGCAATCAAAAATCCTTAATTTTTACTACTATTATTAATATTATCATTGCAATACACAAACAATTAATTTTAATTCTTAATATTTAAAAGAAACTATTTTTAATTCTAAAAACAATCGAGAAAAACATTAAAATTGTACCAGATCTTTCAGATCTTTATAAATAATTTTTATTTTAGATCAAAGATCAAAGACGACGGAAAAAAGTATGAATATCTGATTCAGTAATACAGAGTTTCTCTGTGGTCATCTGATATTTATGAAGAAGCGTAAGTTATGAAGATCGCATCCGGTGAGTTGCGGACTCTACTTTGTATTACAGTATAGTATAATAAAACATTTGTAATTTAAATTAGAGAAATAAGTCATGTATAGTTTTCCAACTGGTGTACAGAATAAATAATGATGATATAGATATGAAATCTTTGAGATGCATTTATTATAACTGTGAAATAAAAAGGTATAATTTTATATTTGGCAATTTATTGATGTTATAATTAAAAATTTTATATCATTTTTTAGTTTATATAATTTATTTTTTAATAGATATGAACTTTTTATATCTCGACATAGACTGCATATCGATATAAATTAAATATCTCTTGTCTATAGATTATCATTTTAAGCAAATCAAATATTAAAAGAAAAATTATATAATGTAACAATGTACACTTTTAAGTCTCTAACTATGATTGAGTTTTTGAATAATTAAAAATGTCACTAGCACAGAGCTCTTCGCTTTTACGATCTCAAGCGGAAGAGGTTCCTCTTGAAATTTGCATAACTGCTTCAA